ATAGGCTTGGTAAACTATCGAAAAAACTTTTGTGTGATGCCAGCAATTGCGAATAGCTTCAGCACTAACTTGATTCCGGAAAATATGACATTCTGTCTATTGCGTAAGTCAGGTCCCGATAGTATGTACAATTTCTCTATTGTCATGCGAGCAACGAACGCAATGTAATAATAACTGAATTGCAGTCAGAACAAAGTCTCTTACATAAAAGTTAAATTACATTCAAATGTACATGTACGGTAAAATATACCGATACACTCAATCATACGCAATTAATTAAATTACAACAAAACGGTTAAATTATTTCACTCATCGCCGCTTTTCTTTTATGCAAATCCCATATGGTCTAATGTCATTCTCGTCCGTGGAAATCCAATACTCGCCATCTCTAGTTTTTCTCGCCTTGATCTTGATCATATTTTTCGGATTTACTCGATTTTGAATCACTATCACATATGCTTTGCCCTCGAACTCAAATTCCGTTGCATAACGTTCTGCTACGTTAATATCAGGCGTTGAATAAATGCCACGCCCATAAGCGAAACGTGTTCCCTTGTCCAACGAATATCCTTCTTCAGTAATTAGTCTCGCATTATATTTTGTAGTTCCATGATAGGATACCGGCCAAGCTGACGTACCAGTACCAAGCCAAGCATCATCGCCATTGTCATATTTTCCGGAAACATTTAGAGCGTAACGCTTCCATCCACACGGTCTTCGATACCGAACCTTTCCTCGCAAATAAATCACACAAGCATCCCTAATGTTTGTGAAATCGTAATCATACTGTGGATCCAACGCACTTGATGGTAAATAACCGGGCACACATCCATCATCTCCGCAAAGGCGTAAAACCATATGTAATGTGTCCTCGGTTTGAATGTTGTAGTCTGCGAGCGTACGGTCATCTTCCAGCTGCATACCTGCGAAAACAAGTCTTTGTCGGGTTTGCGGAATGCCAGCTTTGCTTTGTATCATCTGTTTTACTTTGCCTATAGTATCGCTTGATTGATACTCGACAGAGTAAGTCGGCCCGGTAAGAGTTTTAACAAAAATCTGTTCACAATTGAGCCTCTGGTTAGCGGAAACGTTTCGGCCAACTATGGAATCGAAATCACTACCGATAAGATTAGTTTGATGAAACAAGGCCAAATCGAATAGGTAATTGTCATTAATTTGATGATACGAGTTCAAATTGACTTGCTTCCGTTCTCGAACTTGAACTTGCTTTTTTGATATAACGTTGCGAGTTTCTTTCATAGTGGAAAGCGCCGAATTAAGAAAATCAACGATAAGTGAAGGCATGGTTAATGAATTGACAATCAATGAATCAGGGTAATCGACGCAGGAAATGGATATTATCAAACTTGTCATGTAAGGACTGTCTTTTGTATATTTACTATAATCGGTTTCATTGTAAGTACATATTAAGAGAAAAACCCATTAGGGTCACATGATTTGTATTTAACGCAGTCTCGTTTATTCTTCAATAATTTGATACAGTAACGTAATACAGTGACACCACCATAAGTGCACGCTCAGCATTTGTGTGCACTTAGGAAGGTTGTGTGCAATCACAGAATAACGAATAAAAACCCAGATACTGTTACGCAATGTAGTGACTTTTTTATTATCGGAAATTCCTGAATTCAGTAATCGCATTCCAAATAAAGCCATATTTTACGAAAAAAAAGTGTTAATGTTAGTATGGCGCATTAAATTTGACAAAATTTTTAATATTCTGTAACATGCTTCTGCATTGTCCTGCGCAGGAGAAATGCACACAGAGTTTCTAAGCATATAAATATTATTCTTTTTAAGAATATTAAAGAAATTCTTCCGCCAGCCTTGTGTTTGACAGTTGAAGCTCTTGAAGCGCATTCGTAAGGTCGTCGAATAGGCTTGGTAAACTATCGAAAAAACTTTTGTGTGATGCCAGCAATTGCGAATAGCTTCAGCACTAACTTGATTCCAGGCGAACAATAAATTGAATCGCTTGTAAGACGCTACGCTCATGTGTAAGTCTTTTGCGCGTTTTCCCAACAAGATAAACAAACAAATAAACACAAAATAATAAATAGATTAGTTCTCAAGGCTTAAAACACATATGCAACACTGCGTAAATATATTTTACTGTAAAGAGAAATATGACGATAAAATTGTTTAAATTTATATAATCCTTGCGTCTATCAGCTGGATTCTCGAGGTAGTGTTGGGAACAAACAACAAACATCAGTGTATATTAAGACAAAGTTCGGCCGGTTAATGAATGACTGGAACAGTTATCAATAAGTAGTAACATCCGTTGGCCTTGATGCTTTATACCAACTTGACCGAATTTTTGGATCCAGTCTTGGAAATATAATGTCATCCAAGCCTTGCCATTACGACGATACACACATGAAATGGACGATTGGTCGGATTAGTATCACCATTATCAGTATTACGGAGTATTTCAATAAACTAAACCCATTTGCATGAGGCCAAGAATAGAGTGACAAAGTTGGTATAAACGCTTTGCGTTTACCATCGCGACTGCGGAATAGTCAGTTTTGTCGGCGGAGTGTTTAAGTGATATTCTTTCTTGGAAGTAATATGTTACAACGAAAATTTTGTCAACTATATAAATCAGTTTATTGTTGAAAACAGCTAAAAGAGTTATAATTTTCTCACAACAGAAAGCAATTTTTTTAAACATGCAACCAACCAGAAGCTTAGGACAAAACCAAAAAGCTTTTTCTATCACAATAATAACGTTATGAATAAGATTAGAACTACAGCTATCAAGCGCGATAAAGACGGTTGTGAAATGGTCACTAACAATTGTCTCACTTTTTTTTAATACAAATTCCGTACGGCCTAACATCTCGTTCTTTCTCTGAAATCCAATATTCGCCAACTCCGGTTGTTATTGCGTTAATCTTGATTAAATTCTTTGGGTTTACTCGATTTTGAATTATAATCACATATCTCTTGCGCTCAAACTCAAATTCCGTTGCATAGAGTTCAGCTACGCTAACATCAGGTGTTGAATAAATGCCGCGCCCATAAGCAAAACGTTTTCCCTTGCTTAACAAATATCCTTCTTCAGAAATTAATTTTGAATTATGTTTAGCAGTTCCATGATAAGACACCGGCCAAGCTGTATCATCAGTACCAAGCCAAGTATTATCGCCGTTGTCATATTTTCCACTGACTTTTAAAGCAAATCGCTGCCATCCACACGGTCTTCGATACTGGACCTTTCCTCGCATAAAAGTCGTATCATTATCGTTGATGTGAGTAAAATCGTAATCATATCCGGGTCCAGAGCATTCGAGGGCAAATAACTGATTACACATTCGCCACCACGCATACGCAGAACTAGATGAATTGTGCTCTCTTTTTGAATGTTATAATCTGCGAGTGTACGACTCTCCTCCAGCTTTTTACCTGCAAAAATCAATCTCTGTTGGTCCGGCGGAATGCCTTCTTTGTCCTGAATTAATTTTTTTACTTCCTCTATTGTGTCACTTGTTTGGCATTCCAAAGTTAAAGTTTTTCCAGTAAGAGTTTTAGCAAAAACCTGCATTCCTCGTCCTTTTTCTCTTTGTTTTTCCGGCTTTTGTGTAAAATTTTTTAACACATTTTGACTATCAGTAGCAACGTCTTGTTTGATAGTGGAACCGACATCACCACCGACAAGAGTGACCTGGTGAAACGAGTTAAAGTCGACTTGCTTATAAGTAGCATAGGATATATTTTTTTCTCGAAATTCCTTCTCTGATACAAATTCATGGCTTTTGATCATGGCAGACAGTGCCGAATTAAGAAGATCAACATTAAGCGAAGGCATGGTTAAAGACTAATCATGTAATTGTAGTAAAAAGCTGTTAACAACGTTATTTTTATTCTATTTTACAATGTTTCGAACTACCAAATTTGTTTTTTTTTAAAAAAAAGTCTCGACACTGAAACTCTACTCTTGCTCGATGCGGGTTATAATTAGCTGATGAAGAATAAATTCAACAGTATTTATATAATATATTACAGTATCTTAATTTATATGACATACACTGCGTATACAAATGATTTCTTGGTGATGTATCTAATAATAATACAAAGTGAGGCGCTGACCAGTCGAAAATAGATTAGCTTATAACGGAAAGATTTACCAAAAAACAATACATTTATTTTTTTCCCCAGACCAGTATAAAATAAGTTCTTTCATGAATAATATGGTAACAACAATGGATAAGCCTCTCGAACATTCACACAAGTTCAAACTATAACGATACGCTTGTTGGTATCTAGCTTGGCGTAACGTTGTGTGTTTATAAAGCACTTTACGTAACATTTATGTCAAATCGGGATTGTATCCTACGGTATTTACCCACTGTACAATTTCATGATGATATAAACCAAAATTTCAAACGCATTTAAATAATGTCTTAATTTAATATAGTGCATAATTACCTTCCCCTTTATTATGACTGAGCAGCGCAAGCATAACCCCAGTAGGTTATTACATGATCTTTAATATTGCTTTTACTATGAGGAGAAACCCTTAAACCTCTTTATTTACATGATAGTCGGTCGATTATTTATGTGATGGAATGATTTGCTTATTCACGAGAGGATACCAAATACGGTTTTGAACTAGCACATAATAATGCGTCAACTCGTCAATCACAATTGTCGATCTCATGTCTGTTATGCATAAACTTTGGTCACATCATTATGATCAAATTATTTACGATGAGTTGCGTCTACGGGAAAGCAATATTGTAATTTTTAATACCAAGTGTATTTAAACTCATGTATAACGAATTCGAAACCCAATTGTAGTAAAATTAAACGATGAGAAGTAAAAGTAAAATTATGAATTTGGTAGCAGGCTAATAGAACTCTTTGTGCCAACGTTGCGTTATTACAGTCGTTAACAAGTTTTAATTGTAAAATTTTTGTTAAATGTATTAAGATATACAGAAAGTACTTAAGGACAAACCCCAACGAATTTGACCCACTCATTGTATTTGCGAGAACTGAATATATGTTGCGATAAACAAGACCTGCAAGAAAAAGCTTTTTTAAACATTAAATCGAACGTCTATTAAATAACAAGTTTGGTTAACAGTTGTAGTGATAAAATGTATAAACAACGCCATAGTTGTTGGTTAACGTTGGGCTACGGTTTGCAGCAATTAAATAATAAAACAAACTTTGAGATTGATTTCGATGAATAACTTATTTATATACAATCAGACTTGCACTTTTATGCATATCGACATTAATAAGATGAATAGTTTAAATGCTGTGACTCACGCGAAAATTTGCCTCAGTTCTGAATTGAGACAACTGAGCGTTGAACTGAGCGCTAGATTCCGAACTGAGACAGATTCAAACTCGGACACAACATTATTACAAAGTATGTGTAAAGTTTTTCGAAGCTGTAATTGTGAGAAAACCAAGAAAAATCAATTTTATCATTGAGTTGAAGAACTTAACAATGTGCGCCAAGACCTTTTTTTTTATTTTTGTGGTGGAAAAAAATGATTAAAGTTACGAGAGAAAGGCGTTACATTAGAATAGACTACGGGAATATTATGAATACCAACGTGAGAAAACGTTTGCTGTCCTATGCTATGGTTGGAAAGTAATACGAGGAATGACAAATAAATAAATGTTAAGTACACACAAAAACGAAAATCTAGACTTTTTGCATCAAATAATATCAGCGTACAACATATGGGAGGATAATTGACGTGCAAGTAATGTATGCACATGAAAACGAACGGCAAAGGCGTTCAGCTGGAGTAAATCGTAAGCTAAAAGGGCTTATTGTAGCAAAATAGAAGGTCTAGATCTTAAACAACTCGTTATAAGCGTTGTGATATTTTCGACGCACTCAACAGCAGGATAAGTTCATGATCGAACTAATTTCGGAATACGCATCACCTGATGGAGTACAAAATGTCGAATTTTGGGGAGGTGGGGCGGAGAAATCCCAATTTTCTCTTCAGGATACTGAATTTAGTTAACCAAGGCGAAAAAGAGAATCAGGAAAAAGTGCAAGTCCGTTATTAGTTTATCCGTAAACTTTGTTAACGTTTATGTTAAAATTACATATTGAACGTCTACGTTTTTGTACATAATGCTATTGATTTATGCTTGTGCTTGACCGAAAATTCTTTTCTTTATTCTGCTTCTTTAGTTATTAGTAATAGCGACGACGCTGCGAACAACTCATCTAATAAAATGTTACAACGACAGGTTTTGTATTTTTATTTGACAATAAAGGCTCTCAGATAGCCTTGAAAAGGCATCAGTTAACGCTATTGTTTGTTTTTTCCAAATGCATATTTTTTTAGAATATGAGTCTAGTTATGCATTCATTTAGATTAGTATGGACATTTGCTGTAAATTGACAATATTCGTCGTTTACCACCATATCCGTCGTTTACCACCATATCCGTCTTTTACCGGAAATACGAGAAATGGTTTTGGAAATTGATGTGGGCGATCGCCATATAGGATCTTCACTGTAAGGAACACGCAATTGGTTCACGCCTATTCCCCTTGGAGTGGAGATCTTTTGGGGATACTGAAGCGGGGAATAGGATTTTATTAAAACAAGTAATTTTATTAGGTAATGTTAATGTTCTTTGTTAATTTTTGATGCTTTAAACTTTCTATAGATTTGTCTAAAAGCTAAATTATTCCTAAAATTTTTAACAGTAAAGTGCTTGTCATCCCACCTTTATGGAAACAATATTTTTCTGATCGAAAAAGAAATATGGGAGTTTATATGACTTGATCGAAAAAATAACACGTTGTTGTAAATTTAGTGTCGTGTTACTAACACCTAACATTATAAAGTCCAAACACATGCCAGACCCTAAACTGAATGAGCATTTACGGAATTCTGCATAAAGCACTGTTCAAGCTTGCGCGGCAGCCAATAGGTTTAAGAGACCAATGTAACATACAGAAATGGTTTAATGTTTTTTGCAGCACGAATAAGCGTATTAATTATGGAAAAGGAGATAAACGAGTAGTGATCATAAGATCTGGAATTCGGGATAGCCGCGTTATATCCGAGGTGAGAGAAAAGACAAAAAGGGAATGACTGTAATCAATTCCCTTAACACATGGCCGGGGTTCCACAGACCAAATTACACTATGTTTGTCTACATATTACAATTATTCTATGACGTGAAATAATAAAAACCTTTTTTTTTACTTATTGCCAGAGCTTCTGAACAGTTCTCTTTTATCAGAATAGACAATCAAATTAAGAGGCACATAACGGCTATGTCTGTTTTGAGATAAGAAAAGCCGATACAATTAAACACGAACTTGCATCAGGTGCGCTTTTAACAGCGGAGTGAGATGAATATAGTAAATGTCAAAGTTACAACCATCATTATCATATGTACGTTGCTTCTAAATGTAAAGACTTGTCTTTACTTAAGATACGTATCGTATGCAGTTCTTTATTCTAACACACTATTAATTATATACTAAACTTTCTAAATTTAGACATTTTGAACAAATAGCCGAAATCAACGACTAATGTAATAATAGAATGAACAAAAAAGTTGGCAATTTGCAACGTATTAGTTGCGTGCCGTACGCATATAAGAGACTGCTGTCTGCAAGAAAACCTCAAATTAATTTTACCAGCAATTCTCAATTTTATTCAACCTGCAAACTTTTATTCAGCAATCATGAAGTTTACTCACTTTTTGCTATTATCGATTCTAATGTTGGTAATTTTTGAAGCCAACAACGCAAGAGGCCAAACTAACCACACGCTTGACGATAATTGGGGACCAACGTATTATTTGCCGATGTATCCTGAAAAAAGCGGTAATTTGTATTTGCTTTAGACGTTCACGAGCCAGTTGGTCATTATAGCCAATTAACATTTATATTTTATTTTCAGTAACACAACACTCCCCACATTGGTACAGCGTTACGAAACATTGTTACTGGGTTAGAACTCGTGCTGGCGGCTACAATCAGTGCGACTGGGTTATGGCCATAGACGTTTAGCTTTCTTCTCACAAACGTAAACAAAGAAGAAATGACTGAATGAGTGAGCCTTGAGCAATGTTATTGTGCTATTTGTTTTTTCAACAAATATCATATTTTGTTTCAAGTAATTATTTGAGGAAACTAGTCTCGCGATATAATTGGTTGTTTTCGATATCCGGGGTATTAAGTTGTTCTTAAAGAAAGATATTATGCTTCTCTCAATATTGTTCACCCAAACATGTTATTAAATTTAGTTAGCTAGTAAACATTTGCATTTATTTAATTAATCTTTTATCGTGTCAGTAATGGTAATGTTGTTCACATACATTATACAGCAGATCAGCTGTGTGATAACATATTAGCGCTCAATTTTTGTCCAACATAATAAATCTGAAATCGATTGTCAAAAAAAAAAAGTCTTCTGTCATATACACTCACAAAGTCATTGTGTTTTTTCAGTCATGTCAAACTTCAATAAAGTTCGAATAAAATTATTGACGGAAAATATAATTGGACAATTAGACGTATATATTTAATATTTATTTCAATAGAAAACATTTTCGAATTACTTACATTCGGAAAGAGTAGATCATTTATTTGAGCATAGCAATAACCTGGAATAGTAAATCGAGCAACTACAACTCATACCTTACCTAAATTAATATTAGTGACAACAATTACTGTACTATCTGAAATATTAATACAATCAATCAATAAATAATTTACTGTATATCCACTCATCAATAAACCCCTCTTTTTTTTTACCATTGGACAAGACTATTGGCTCTAAATTAAACTGGATATTGAATCTAATCAGAGATGAATAATTTCCGAGCGATTGCTTCTGTATGCAGTTTGATTATTCTAAAGATTTAATAAAGTCAGAGGAAAATGTAAGTTTGAAACTTTGCTAAAAATTTTTATAATTTTAATTAGATTTTAATATTACATCGTATGGGCTTGGGTTTCTTGTATGTCTTCAATAAACAGCGGAATACAAGTCCTTGATATTTAATAATCAACGGGTGAATTTTTTCCCCCGGATAGCTCATCAGACAACAGGGAATTGTCTTAGTTAGTATTCTACAAGTTGCTGATAATAAAATAGATGTTGCAGCATTATAAGCTTTAAGAAAAATTTAATTCTTCGTTGAAAGTGTATCAAAAAATGGGTGTGTACGAACGATATTGCAAAAAAATATTATTAATCCAAAACTTTGTAAACATAAAATTGAGCAATTAGTTTATTTGTTGAGAACTTAATACGTATAAAAGTGTCTTCTTGCAATAATATACGAACACACGAGCCAAACAATTTGAACAAACGAAAAGCATTTCTATAAACACCGGTCGGATACAATCATTGAGAAAGAGATAGATTTGGGTTTACAATTAATAAAACACATATGGCAGTTTATAACACGCAGGCCACTTTTCTTAATTAACAAAAACTATATTATTGCAATAGGCAAACACCATTATTATTAAACTTTTCTTTTATACAAATTCCATATGGCCTTACATCCTGCCCATCCTTAGAAATCCAATACTCGCCAACTCTAGTCTTTGTTGCTTCAATCTTGACCAAGTTTTTTGGATTTACCCGATTTTGAATCACTATCACATATGTCTTTCCGGAAAACTCAAATTCTTTTGCATAAAGTTCGGCTACACAAACATCAGGTGTTGAATAAATACCCCGTCCAAAAGCGAAACGTTTTCCCTTACTCAACAAATATCCCTCTTCGGAAATCGATTTTGCATTATATTTTGCGGTACCATGATAAGATACTGGCCAAGCATCATCACCAGTACCAAGCCAAGAATCATCACCGTTGTCATATTTTCCGGAAACCTTTAAAGCAAAGCGCTGCCATCCACACGGTCTTTGATACTGAACTTTTCCTCGCATATAAGTCTCCCCAACATCCTTAACGTGTGTAAAATCGTAATTATATTTCGGGTCTAAAACATTTGAAGGTAAATAACTGATTACACGTCCATTGCCATCTTCTCCTCGATAAAGCATGGATATACCGTCATCACCACCACCAGGCATGCGTAAAACCATATGTAATTTACTCCCAT